ACGCTACCCTCTTTGGGAGAGGCGGGGCAGGGAGGGGGTAATCAGGAGCATTAAGGGGGCGGGGAAAGAGGCTGCCACAGCAGAGAAATAAAAGCCTCTGATCCTGTTGGTATTTTGTGTTGAAGATCTCCAGAGGAGCAACTGGTCGCTGGAAGGAAAAACAGAAGCAGGGAAGGGGTGGGGGGGCTGGGTGGGTCGGGGTGGCAAGACACCCGGCATGATCCCTGCGTGTTGTCCGACGGTCGTGCTGAGGCTTGTTGGGCTTCGAATTAGGCCTTAATAATTTATAAAGCGGGAGAGAGAGGAACTGTTACTAAATTTACAGCGAAGTGTGGCTATAAAGCTTCTTGCTGACACAAATGATCTTGGCCCTCAAAGCGGTCTGCTCGAGGACTTGTCCATTAATACATTTCTGGATCTGCAGAAGACACTTCCGAGGCCTTGTCTAGAGATGTACTGTCCTTCCGTCAGCTGAGGTTGTCAGGGCCAGGCTACGGTGCAGTCCATGGCACCCTTACTTGGGAGTAAGAGCCATACAACTCTTTGGGACTTTCTTGGGATCTGGCTCTAACGGTGCAGTCCTAAAAAGAGCTACATCCTTTGCAGCTCATTGAAGTTAATAGGTTTATAAGGGTGCAGCTCTCCTTAGGATTGCACTTTAAGTGTGATGGTATGCTTTAGGAATTTCAGATTCATGTGGGAGAATAAGTAACATCTTTTTTGCCCCTGTGAGTACATTTCCTCCTCATTTTGATATGGGTTATGAACTGGTTTTGTACAACTCGTGCAGCAATTGAATTAGAACTCCTACACAGAGCCAGCCAGCGCATGTTCATGATGTATATAATATTTAAATTGACAGCTATCCTATTAATGTACCATCATTAGTCTGTTAAGTGTAGGCTGTATAATTCAGGGTAATAATGCAGTACCGGTCATGAGTATGATGATATGATATGGGGGAGATTATCATAGGTAAAACAACTCTCACTGCTGAGTGTCAAGGACTTACGTGAATCCTTGTGAATACCTTTTGTCTCTGCAGTTAGTATATCTGTGCCTATTCAGGTAACATCCACTGTTGCTCTAAAAATATTTGCACAACTTTCAGATACAGTGGTTCCACTTCTGCATGACAAGGAATATTTAAATCTGCATTTGTTATTACATTAATGTTCCTCGTCATGCAAAGATTTATGCAGGTACTTAACTTTATGTACAGTCCGGTTGTCTAGAGTAATGGATTATATATTGATTTAACTGATACTATTTGCTGGATGAACTCTAGCTGTTAAGATTACTGCTGTTCTGCACACAGGCTATAAAAATTAAAATCTGCCATAGGCAAAAGCTTTATTGTTAACGGTGCTTGTATACAGTATGCTTAATAAATTAATTTATAATGTCAAATCTCTTCCCCATTGAACTGTGCTATATATAAAGAAGGGCCATCATATGGATTTTTTAAAAAGGATCAGACGCAAGATGGTCTGAACTGTGGGAAGGTAGATTAAGGTTAGTCATTGGGAAAAGGTCCAAAGCGAAGAGCAGTTCATTAGAGGAAGAAGCTCTTTAGTGAGGGCGTGGGATGGAGTTGTTTTCTTTGGAGTCCTCCATGAAAGGGCTGCGTGGGGGTATGGTAGGTTTAGATTACCTTGGTTTGTGGAGGGGAATTGGTCTACCTTACGCAGAAGATTGTGCTTATCTTCTGTGATTCCAGAAACGGGAACAAAGGAAAATGGCTAATGGACATGATAACATCAGCTGTCCAATTGCAGACTCATAAAAATCAGCATTGAGCTTATACTGCCTTCACAGGATGCATGCCGAAGAAGAGTGACATAAATATTTTGTCATATTCCGGCATTTATGTTTGAACAGTGCAAAGCCTGGCGGAATCACTGTCTTCACAAGAATGCTTTCTGGTAGCGTGAGGATGGTGTTAGTTACATTTAAAGTTGTTGTGTATTTCCTTCCCCATGGCTTGCTCACCTGGTTGCGCTAAGGCATGAGAGAGAGAGAACTTCACAAAAATTTCTCCAAAGGAAAGCGAGAGTCAGAAATGGAATACAAAGGAAAAAACAAATACTTCAATCCTGCAGGAAGGCCTGTACATGTGGCTGTGCATCCAGGTGCACATTGTTATGCTCATCTGGTTACTATCGTTGATGGATGCACCTGAGGCAGGTTGGGCGATGCACAAATAGGATGATGACGTACACAAATGGGATGACGATGTGCATTTCATCTGGGGCCACTAGTCCCATGAAACAAAGCATTACTAAGAAAAGATGAAGGCCATATGGTTTTGCTAACATGAGGCTACTTGGTAAGCCCAAAAGGTATATTAAATGGAAGTAGGAGGAATATTTGTAGGAGGAATATTTATTTGTATAAAGGATTTCAAGAAAAAAAGATATTGTGACATTTTTATTATGTTTACCAGGAAATGTTAACAATATTTATTCTTTTCAGTAGGGATATGTCCTCAGCACCAACCACTCCTCCATCAGTGGATAAAGTAGACGGATTTTCTCGGAAGTCCGTCAGAAAAGCCAGGCAGAAGAGGTCGCAAAGTTCCTCCCAGTTTCGGTCTCAGGGCAAGCCTATTGAGTTAACGCCACTGCCTCTGTTAAAAGGTAAGGCTCTGAATCCATTATGACTAAAGTCTTGGTTCTGCATCTGATTATTTAGTTATGACAGAAGATTGCAGATGCTGCTTTTTCATTGGAGTAAAGTTCCATGCCTGAAAAGTTTATGGATGTAACTGTTATTTTAGTATATTATACTAAATGTCGTAAACGTGTATGGTGGAGAACTTGTGATACAGATATTGAAGGCCCTTATTCTCTAGCTGATTATATCAGTGTTTGATTAGAGAGTAGTTATTAATATATATGAAGGAGAAAGGTGTCTAGCAAACCTGGAAAAATAAGTGCAAGGGTTCTTGATGGATAATTCTGCTATATTGTGCTAGAGTTTTTAATTTTGTATCTGCTATCTTAGCGTTTGTTATTCAATTACTCTTATTTTCCTATCCTTCTGTATGTGTAGTCAGTTTGCTGTTAGCAAGGTACTAGATGCATGGGAAAGCAAATGTATTTAGATGCAAATGTATTTAGATATTTGAATGTAAGAATCTGGATTTGGGAGTTTGTCAGGTATGTGGCAGAGCTTGCTTGATACTGGTCACAGGAATATATCCAGTGTTGTAGAGAAGATTGTTGGGTCCTACCTAGGCTGTATGGTACAACTTAAGGTCAGACTGTATTCAGCAAACTGGAAGGCAGAAGTTTTGCTACTTTTAAAGGCATTTCAAACAGGGCAGAGGAAAGCTGCAGATGTTATCACCCTGGGGTGGTGCCTTGTGATCTAACTAGAGCAGGATTGCTCTACCCCTCCCCCCCGAAACAAAGTTAGCAAGCGAGCCACAGGAAATGCTTAGTTTACAAATAAATTGCTTTGTAGGTTTTTATGAGTGTGGCGTTCGTCAAGAGGGCTTTTTGCACAGGTAAACATGACTGTACTGTGATGAAATGCTCAGAAAGTTGCATTGATAAAGGGGTAGGGACTGTAACCTATACTATTTTTTGGGTGTTTTTGCATGTGCGTGTGTGTGCATGCACCTGTGCCTGGAAGTCATAGTGACCTCTGGCGACTCCTACTGGGGCATGGAACACATTCAGAGAAGTGGCTTGATAGCCTGCCTCTGCCTCCCAGCCCTGGTATTCCTTGGAGGTCTCCCATCCAAAGACTTGCTAGGGTAGGCCCCCTTAGCTTCCAAGATCTGACGAGATTGGGCTTGCCTAGGCTTTCCAGGTCAGGGCTGACTGTAACCTATACTATTATATTGCTGCCTATCACTGTACATACACTCCAGACTAGGTAGTTTCTGTACCACTTAACATATGTTTAAAAAGCTCATGCTTTGTTTGATCTCTGTTTGAGATTTCTGTTTGCTTTCATATTTCTGTAGTCTGTACTGTTCCTTGGATGTCCCATCCTGCTGATTGTGCTTTGCTTACATGTTGTACTCTGCCTTGAATCTCAGTGAGAATGGTGGACTGTAAATAACCAAATAAGTTAAAAATGTTCACAATCTCTGTTGTGGTCACTGACAGTGCAATCCTAAGCAGCATTACACCTTTTTGAGCCCGTTGACTTCAGTACATCTCTGCTTAGGAATGTGCTATGTGCCCCTAACTAATACATTCAGTACCTTGTTTTGTTGTAAATTGGAGTACCAACAGCATACAATCCGAAGTTGGCAGGGGTGTTGTTTGTCACCCCAACAGGGACTCAAAACTAGAATTCACAGAATCATGAAGGAGCTAGGCTGATGGTGTTAAGTAGTCTGTTGGTGCTAAGTGGGGAGCAGCCTTTTAGGTTCTCACTTGGCTTGTGCAGCAGGGTTAGAAGAACTATATGATGGAAATTGCATTTCCTGACTCCTGAGCTCAGAAGTCTTCCTTCCCAACAGTGTCTGTTGTCTGGCCTGAAATAATTAGAGTTTCCTCTTGCAACCTGCAGCCCTGATGGTTTGTGGGTAAAGAATCAGTACCAGTCTTTTAAGACTTCTGATTTGAGCCCCTTGGCATTTGTTGTGCACCGCGGAGTGCTCGGTTTTGACTCTTCATCTCATCTCAGCTATCTTCCTCCCGAGTGCAGTGCCTCTAAAACCTGGGCAAAGCCAATTTATTTTTAGTCTTCCAAAATTCTTAGCAATTTGAAATCTCTTTGCGCCCCTGGGCCATATGTTATGAAGGACCGTGTGCTAAAATATCTGACTTACAAACATTCTTGTCTGTCCTTTTGGCATTTCAGCAAATGAATCCGTGTTGTGTTTGAATGTTGGAAGTATTTTTAAAGCCAGTTGGTCTATGAGAAAAAAAAGTTTCGCATGTGTTTGGCTGGATGGACATTCATAAGGAAGACCAATCAGTCTTTATTGTGTTGACCAAAAAAGCCATAGCAAAAATACAAAGTAAAATGCAAATGTCTAACAAGATAAAATTTGGGAAATAATAAAATTGACCATTTTTACAGAAGGTATTAATCATCCACCCATCCATCCAGAATACCATACAGTCCAGTGATGAATTACAAATGGCAAGTGACCAGTGACCCAGAGTGAAGCAGTTATGGGTCAGACATACTTTGATCAGCATGCCTCATCATCTTGGAAGGCAGTTTTAATGGGATCCCATATAGGGAAATGTTGTTTAAAACAAAATTTAAATGGACTTTCAGCAGCTATATAAAGACAAAAGTTTCAAATTGTGGATGTGCTACAGACCATGAAGTTCTTGTTCCTAACTGAAGAGAGTATGGTTTTGACTCCTACTTGGTTGGGGAACCCAAAGAGCCCTCTTTTCTGCCAATTATTGGAAAGTAGGCTGACATCTATGTAAGGACTCTGAGGCAAGTGATGCTCTATCATCTTGGTACTTGGGGGGGTCAACAGTGGGAGGGCTTCTAATGTCCTGGCCCCACTGGTGGACCTCCTGATGGCACTGGTATTTCTGGCCACTGTGTGATACAGAGTGTTGGACTGGATGGGCCTTTGGCCTGATCCAACATTGGCGTTCAAAAGTCATTAATTAAAGCCCCCTCAGTGTCTTTGTGCTAACATTTATAATGACAAGCGAGATCCGCGGAGGCCCACTGACACGGCGGCAGAGCTATTCTTCTAACAGGCCTGGCACGGCGCTTCCAATTGTCAGCGAAAACACTTCTCCCGCGAGTCAAGACGGGCCTGAGATGGGCACTCATGCAGACCGGGAACGGCACACCCCTCCGTGGAGCTTCTCTTCTGAAATAGGTCATTTGGTGGACAACTTCTCGATGGGACTCTCTTAAAGTAGACAGGTCAAAGACAGGTCAAAGACATTCAGTCTCATCCAGGTTTACTCTGTCCTACTGAAGAACCCAACTCATGTAGCCTTTTTGTTTCCTCAACACATCCTCAGTTTCTGGCATGTCCAAGAGACAGGGTTTTCTCCGTGGTGCCTCAATGCAGATTCTGTGGAATTCCCTGTGCACAGCCATGTGCTTGGCATCAGTGTTGCAGAGATTCAGGTGCCAGGTGGAAATGTTTTTATTTAGCTAGGTTTTAGTAACACCTTTTTTTGCCTTTTGCTGATTTAATGTATTGATTTTAAAGCATATTGGGTCCTCAAGGTAGCTAACATTAAAACTGTTCCGTATTCAAACATTAAAGACATTAAAACAGCATTTAAAATACAGTATATGTAAAATATTTAAACAATTTGATAAATATATAAGCATATATAACATATCCAGGGAGCAGGGCCAATAACAGTTAAAGGGGGGGTGCACCAAACCAAACAGCAAAGTCTTCACTTGCTGGTGGAAGATAAATATAGAAGGAGATGGCCGAATCTTCCTGGGGAGGGAATTCCGTAGTTTTGATGCCAGGGTTGAAGAGGTCCTTTCTTGAGTTGCCCTCCATCTGGCCTCAGCTGGCGGGGACACCCGAAGCAGGTCCTCCAATGATAAGCTTTGTTTTTTTTTTTGGTAAACAAATTTTAATTTTCTTAGGAACATAACATATAAGATTAAATCATTCAGTCCATTGTTTACCTCATTCCCTTCCTCCCCTCCCTCCAGTGGCTTCCCGCAATGCTTCTCCCCCTTCTTACAAATTTCATTATATCATTATATCAAGGAAAAGCAAATACATCAACAAAGCTTATCATCATGATACAATGATAAGCTTTGTTGATGTATTTGCTTTTCCTTGATTTTTTTTGTTCCTATTATTTGCATAGTATCTTTTAAATTATTTTGTCCATATTAATTGGTTTTATTGTTGAGATTGGAGTTTCTTAAAAGACATCTTGTGTGTAGGTGGGATAGAAACCTTGTAAATGCATTTTCATTCCAGGACGCTGAACACAGACACATGAATGCATGTTTTAAGCCTATAAATGATCAGAAGACTTTTGCTTGAAATTGAAAGTGTAAATATCTGTTTTATGAAAGAATAAAAAAGTGATTAAGTTCATGTAAGATGAATGAATTGGAATTAAGAGTATGCCCTTGGATCCCGCACACCTTAGTTGCTCCCTTTCTTTCCTCTACATTCTTGGATCCCAGGACACCTCTTGCCTGTGACCTTTGCTCTTTGTACAGCCATCTGAAGGGGCTCCTTTTCCTGGGTATGATACTGCCCTCTCTTCCTTGCTGGCGTTTTTGCCTAGAACTACTGTTCAGAATACCTGTATGGGGCTGTGTCTCACTGCAGACCTGTCGTCAAAACTCATCTTTGTCTATGAAGCCTTTGGCACAACTTCTTTTGCTGCTATAACTTAAGCCTTATTGTATGCAAATAGAATTAACATATATTCTCCCTCTTCCCCTCCCTTTGTTGTACATTTTTATATTGTAAACTCCTCAGTGCAGGGGCCTGTTGTCTTGAAACTCTGTCAAGCACCATGTAAGTTGATGATGGTGTGTAGACATGATAAAGGGCCTTTGAGGCCAATAAAATACTAGGAAGACATCTGGAAGCAGTGAGACTAGTCTGTTCTGCCATTTTATATGAAGGGCAAAGTGGTCAGCATTGGGAGCTACATTGAAGATATTGCATGGAAAATCATTCTTTATATAATATGAA